CATTTAAATACCAAAAATTCTTAAAATTTTTTTTGTTGGAGCCATTATAAAAATTCTTGACTTTCATGGCTTAAGTATCATAATTTTGAAAATGAGAATTCTTATTGACCTAATTCAATTTTATTTATTTATTTAGAGGTTTAAAATTCGTACAAATAGCTCAAGTTTAAGAAAAAATTGACTAATTAAATAAAATTAAATATTTAAAGATAAAGGTGTCCTTAAATTCTAACATATAAGAGGCTCTACTTTCTCTAGCAAATAATAATAACATTTAAAAGCTTTATATTCTAATTATTAAGGCCCCAAGTATTACGAGATCCTAATAATTAGAATATAACAACAATTAGAAATAATATACACATTAGGGCCACACATATCGCGGGACTTTAAGATGTATATTAATTAACTTACAGGTGTATCGGGACTTGCTAACTTAGGAAAAGATGGAAATGGAAGGAATAATTATCCTTGTTTAATTTATATGTAACTTGGATCCTGTTATCTATAGGAAAAACATGGAAATGATAATGGTCCCTTCCAGTTTATCAGGTCTTTTGCCATCATCTCTTTAGATTCCTCTCTTCCTCTTCTTTCTGCTTATCATGTAGCATCTTCTATCCATAACTCTAACATTAAATTTAATCTATTCTTGATAAAATTTATTTTAGAAAAATTAAACTTTTTAAAAATATAATTATTTTTATATTAATTATAATTAAACAATTTGAAATTATAATTAAAATTAAAAGGGAAAAAATTAGAGCGTGCAAATGTTAAATAAAATATATACAGTATTTTTGAAGCAATCGAACAACGAGAAAGTTGAAAATTAATGTAATATCTCCCTTTGGTTATTTGTCATTTTACTTTAATTAATCAAAGTAAAAATATTTTATTATGAAATTTTAAAATGTTTGTTGACTTTAACAATTATTTTCCCAGTTAGATATTATATTAATGATACCTTTCGGTATTTTTCTGATAAAATTTAATAAGTTCTACTTACAATAATGAACATTTTATCAACGTAGTCATTTGTGAATATTTACTGTATATTTTCTCATTAACTCAGTAGGTGTAAGGATAATAATTACATTATTACCTATTAAGTAAACTAATAAATGAATTCGAGTGAGAGCAAATGAGCCAATTATGAAAAATGAACTAATTTTTCATCAAAATTGATTTAAAATTCAATTTTTATTTATTCGAGATAAAGATGAAATGTGATTATAAAATAGGAAAAAATTTTATTGATTAATTTCTTAAATAAAATTTAATTTATGTAAATTTTATGTAAGGATTATAAGAGGGGGAAAAAGCAACAGATATATAAGAAATAAAGCGTTTAAAATTAATTTATTTACTATTTTATTTAAAAATTATTATATTTCTTTATTTTATAATTCGTTTATTAGTTTTATGTAGAATTTTTTAATTATTTTTTTCAATTTGTCACCTTCTTTTACTATACTGAAAGAGCACGAAGTGTTCCAGAACAATTTGTGATTGGAAGAACTCGCGACTCACAGGTTGAGAAGGAATGTTTTCACATTATATTTCACACTATATATTATAGATTTTTATATAATTTATTGAAATTTACCTTCATACAGTTTTATTACATGTATTTATAAATATACATACAAAAAAATTAGGAATAAAAAAGATAAAAATCCAATTACCTTGCCTTAAAAAGATCAAACTAATATAATTTATCACGATTACAATTATAAATAAGTTAATAAAATTCGAGTGAGCGAATAGTAATTAAAAAGAAGTTAATAAACCTAATTAAATTTGCGATAATTACCACGAAAATTTTTCGATTTTATTTAGATTTAAATTAATAATAAATTTATACAATTTTCATTCAAATAAAATTTATTATTTTAAATTATTTCTAACAAATTAATAACGTTCGATTTACATTTTATTAGACAATTAAACATTATTGTTAAAGTATAAATGTATACATTAGCTTACGATTTATATTATGGAAATTAATTGTGAAATTCTGTCAGTTATTTTTCTTCCCTTTTCCCCCCCCTCTGTGTTTTTTTATTATCGAGTTATCTAGGAGGAGGATTTTTATCGGATGAAACGACACCTAAGTGTTTGGATATTGTGGGATCAAGTTGACAGTGCATCCCCGTCAGTTGGACTTGACACTTGCATTCCAGCAATCACTGTCAAAAGAGAGAACCTATGCGCATGTCAGCCATACAGAGAGAGAAAATAAAGCTCTCCCAAGCTGACTTGCCACAGGTCACATGTGGTGCTACTGATCTGTACTCTGGTGCAAAACTACAATATAACCGGTATTCGACTGGTATGTAACATATCAATACTTAACTCTACAGTTATGAAATTGCCATTACTTAAATGTAAATCATTTGTTTTCCACTGTTATATTGTTGAAATTAAGTTATATTTTTTAGTTTTTCTTTTTAATAATAAGAAAGTTCAATTTTTTATTTTTTAAATAATTTGCTTTAAATTAAGTAAATTTTCTGTGTGTTTTAACTTTTATAATTGTCTACGTTATAATTTTAAGCTTTTGAGTAGTTAAAACGTACAAATATTTATAATTAACGTGATGTATTTTATTATAAAACATTGTTCTTTCGATTAAACTTCTGTTGTTTATTAAATATTTTGTGGTTTATAAGTTATAAATACTATAAAAATTTAATTAATTAATTTCTTAAATTGTTAATTAGTTTTTTTAACAACATTTAAATGTAAACTTTTGCAAACATTTTNATTTTATTTACTAAATTACTTATTATGCAAATGAGGAACATGCCAAGGGGCCCCGAAATTGGAAAAAATAATGTCTTATTCTTCAGATACAATTAGATATTATTACTTTATGTTGTAAAATTATGTGGAGGGGTCCCAGTTAATCTTCTATACCTAGGGGCCTCCCCGAGAGGCCTTAATTTAAATGCATGTATATATAATGATGAAGTTATATATAAACAATTTATGGTGTACATTTTTTATATTATTATTATTTTCATATTTTTTCTATATTTAAAAAATAGATTTTGTATATTTTTAAAAAATTTATAATGTACAAAGCATAAAAACAAAATACATAAATCTAAATATATACACCTTATATATAACGAGAAAGAGAGAAATTCTACATATCAAATATACTTTGTAAATTGTAAAAATATATTTAAAGATATAAAATAAGTATATAAATATGTATATTTGAATTTATTTTTCTTATATCTTAAATATAGTTATGTAACTGAAAGACTATTATTTAAAAATAAACAACTGTCAAGATCACTTGTATGCGATCAATCTTTACTGGATATATGAAATTCTGATTTACTGAATTTGATTTAAAGGGTGAACCAAAAGTAGGTGTACTAGGGTTTGTATAGGGTTATACTATAACAATGATGTATATTTAACTCGGTTATGATTGTAAAATTACATCAGAGATGTACTTGAAGAAATGAATACACGAAGATACTTGCGTAAAAATGTCTGTCGAAGCGTGAAATGGTGAAATGTATACTTCAAAGTTGTTTAAATTGTGATGGACAGTAGTTTGAACACCTGAATTGATAAAATTGTATTGTATTGTATTAGTAAATATAATTATTATATATGCAATCTCATTTACTTTTGGTTCACCTTGTATATAAGACTTTTTAAAAAATTCTTATGTAAATTATGTAATATTTTTAAAAATATATTTATAAAAGCAAACCTTGATATAGCGCCTTTCTAAATAGTTTCACCATTTAAAATATAATACTAATGAATACTTATACACAAACATCATTCTGAGATAAATATTAATTAAATTGAGAACTCTTCGCTTTAACTTCATGATCTATTTACTATTAAATATTTTAGAGGGGGGAAATGGTTTCTTTGTATTAAAGTTTGATTATATATAAGGGTGGTCCAAATGTCAGTTAACTGTGTCAGACAATTTACAATTACATAAAAGATTTAAAGAAACAGGAGCGACTTCTTACAAAACATTAGCCAAGAATTTCGATAACTGATAACCAATCTTAATATTTTTAACGTTTTGTAGTGTCTAAATAAGACAGCAATCTTTATAACGCGATTAAAAACCTCTCTGTATACGTATAAAGTTCCATTTCGATTTGTCGCCATCACTTCTTCGTGTCTGAAATTGGCACTAAATTGAGTTTGGTGTTAAACCGAAGTAATTTAAACAATAATAAGCATATATGTTTTACAATTATATCTATAAACGTTTAAGTTTAGAAGCTTGAAAATCACATGATTTGAAGATAAAAATGTTGTTTATAATACATAATAGTCCATTTAGTAATTCACAAAATCTGAAGAGTTCTCTATTTAATATTTATAGGGTAGATACTTTTACAAGTATCCATTGACGATTTACGAGAGTGGCACTAATTTAGAAGACACTATATCGAGGTTTCATTAAATATATTGCATACTCTATAGGTAAAATGATTTTTATAGAAGAGCAAGAATTTATATATATATAAATTCTTGCTCTTCTATAAAAATCATTTTACCTATAGAGTATGCAATATATTTAATGAAACCTCGATATAGTGTCTTCTAAATTAGTGCCACTCTCGTAAATCGTCAATGGATACTTGTAAAAGTATCTACCCTATAAATATTAAATAGAGAACTCTTCAGATTTTGTGAATTACTAAATGGACTATTATGTATTATAAACAACATTTTTATCTTCAAATCATGTGATTTTCAAGCTTCTAAACTTAAACGTTTATAGATATAATTGTAAAACATATATGCTTATTATTGTTTAAATTACTTCGGTTTAACACCAAACTCAATTTAGTGCCAATTTCAGACACGAAGAAGTGATGGCGACAAATCGAAATGGAACTTTATACGTATACAGAGAGGTTTTTAATCGCGTTATAAAGATTGCTGTCTTATTTAGACACTACAAAACGTTAAAAATATTAAGATTGGTTATCAGTTATCGAAATTCTTGGCTAATGTTTTGTAAGAAGTCGCTCCTGTTTCTTTAAATCTTTTATGTAATTGTAAATTGTCTGACACAGTTAACTGACATTTGGACCACCCTTATATATAATCAAACTTTAATACAAAGAAACCATTTCCCCCCTCTAAAATATTTAATAGTAAATAGATCATGAAGTTAAAGCGAAGAGTTCTCAATTTAATTAATATTTATCTCAGAATGATGTTTGTGTATAAGTATTCATTAGTATTATATTTTAAATGGTGAAACTATTTAGAAAGGCGCTATATCAAGGTTTGCTTTTATAAATATATTTTTAAAAATATTACATAATTTACATAAGAATTTTTTAAAAAGTCTTATATACAAGGTGAACCAAAAGTAAATGAGATTGCATATATAATAATTATATTTACTAATACAATACAATACAATTTTATCAATTCAGGTGTTCAAACTACTGTCCATCACAATTTAAACAACTTTGAAGTATACATTTCACCATTTCACGCTTCGACAGACATTTTTACGCAAGTATCTTCGTGTATTCATTTCTTCAAGTACATCTCTGATGTAATTTTACAATCATAACCGAGTTAAATATACATCATTGTTATAGTATAACCCTATACAAACCNTATATATATACATTAATTAATTTTCATCTGAAACAATAAAATCGACAGTAATAATAATTGAATAGTCCGATCTCCATATCTTTTGATTACAAAGAAAAACACCCGAATATAATTAAAAGAATCCTTCAAACATCGATAAGATAGAAATAAATTTATAGCAACACAACAAGAATTGTCTTATTGTTTACTTGTTAGAAAATATTGATGATCAAAGAGAACTGAACCACTTAAAATTGTTCGTGACAAGTGATAAATCTAATAAAAGAAAATAAAATTTTTTAAAAAAAGTGTATATTTACATTACCTAATTATAAATTTAGCTATTTGTGAATTAATGAAATAAGTAATTTATTAGTAAATAAATTGTATTAAAGAAAATAATTGGGTATTAGAGATACTGTATCTAATCTGAAGACTTTGCGCGAATTTATGTACTCCAAGGTGTGTAAAAATGTATTGTACTAGACCATAAGTTATTTTAACGCTTTTACTGATAATAAAAACATTTATTTTAACATTTTCTGTATTAACATTAGCATAATATTTAAATTTTTGTTGACAGTTATTGCAATTATTTGCTATTAGAAGAGTTCCTACAGCCTTTACTCATTTATAACTCAGGAGCACGTGCCTCTTTCGCTGCCCCCTTCCTACCAGTGTCAAATTTTAAAAAATTTTGGGTTCTAAGTAAAACTTGTACCCCAAAAAGGCATGAATTTTTTTTCTTATATTTTGAAAAATAACGATTATTACACTGCAACATTAGATTATATCTCAAAGAATATAAAAGTAAGTAAATAAATATATAATTTAATATTAAAAAATTAATTTATGGGCCCCCTGACGGATTCGGGCCTCACGAAACTGCCTAATTTTCCTAGACCTAAGTCTAAACCTGCTTGCTACAACACTATGATCCTGCATTAAGCTGTAGTTTATCATCTTCGGTATTTATTTTTAAGCTTGGTTTTACTTCAATATATATGATAATTGCATCATTTATTTGACTATTATTTAACACAAGCTGATCAATCATACACTCATTTTTAAAATACGCATATTTTTTTTTCGAAGGGGACATTTTTCATAAGATAGAAGCAGCATGCAAGCTGTTACACGTAGCTTGATAACATAATAAAATTAATGATTGCTCATTAATTTATAACGAGCTTATAACAACGATAATATTATTAAACAAATTCAAATTTTATATTATTTAAATGGACTAAATGCTTTTAATTTAATAGTTCAAATTTGCAATCTGACAGATACATAAACATTTAAATAAATTCTCTTATTACGGCTAAGCTGTGTAATTATGTTATGTAATCAGAATTATGACGTTAAATATATGCGATATTTTACAATTTTATTATATTAATACTTAAATAACGTAATTAAGTTAAATGGTTATCAAGCTGAGAAATCTCAATATTACAATTCTGCTATAAATTACACAAATATAATAATTAATTAATGCGATTTTCTGGTGCAAAATATAAAACTATACTGTATAATTGTACAATAATTTAAGAACTTTGATTCATTAAAAATTTATTTTTTATTCATTCAAACAATGCAAAATTACTTCTACATAATGTATTTAAGGAGACTCCAATGGTACAGTACAATGAACCCGATAACTTTGAGTAATATTTTCTGATGATAAATATAGAAAATTTATTTTATAACTTTTAGAAATATTTCTATATAAATATATTTATTGAAAAAATTTGACTACTGATGTATAATG